TTGAAACTTTGTTATTCGAAAGTAAGCTTTTTTAAGGCAGGTCAAGATGTCATCTCTTTATCCACTAAAATACATCAATACTGTTTTCATTTTCCAACAACATGGACATGTTTTTCTTCAGGCAAACACATAATTAACAACAATTTTTAAAGTTTAGAGGACAAATGTGTAGTATACTTAACCTGGGACCAACAGGAATTACTTTAACAATAACGCAAAAGAAAGGGACTTAGACTTTTCAGTATTTTAACCCAAAAAACCAATAACAGGTTAAGTGTTAAATGTTTCAAACAACTTTTGTAAATATCAAATGTAAATGGTAGAATTAATATCTTAAGTAATTTTACTTCTCAAGTAAATGCTTATTGAAATAGGAATGTTGAGGTAATCTTGTCATTTCAGGATGAACATTTTCTGAAATGAAGAAACATAGCTTTGCTATATAAATTCAAGTAAGCTTTATTCAAATTCATAAACATATTCATATAATATATATATACAAATATATATTCAAAGCAATATCCCTCTACCGCACACATTGTGATAGATCGCCTTACAGCAAGAAGGTCGCTGGCTCAAGCCTCGACTGGGTCAGTTGGCATGTGGAGTTTGCATGTTCTCCTCGTGTTCGCGTGGGTTTTCTCCGGGTGCACTGGTTTCCCCCACAAGTCTAAAGACATGCGATATAGGTGAACTGGGTATGCTTAAATTGACCACTGTGAATGAGTGTGTATGGATATTTTCCAGTGATGGGTTGCAGCTGGAAGGGCATCCATAGCGTAAAACATATGCTGGATAAGTTGGCGGCTCATTCCGCTGTGGCAGCCCCAGATTAATAAAGGGACTAAGCCAAAAAGAAAATGAATGCATAAATGAATGAATCCTGTTGCCATATATGGCTACACCATGTGGTAGAGGGTTAAGTTAAAATGTATGTAATAAATAAGACACATTAGGGCTGTTGAGGAGTTTTTAATCATTATAAATATGCTGTAATGATTGTAAAATTAAATTTAAATATTGTAACTGATGTTTCTATACAGTATCTGTACACGATGTGTTATACTCATTGATTTACATTATAAGGATTTAATTTAAGCTTTTAGCCATATAAATGTAAGAATTATGTTGGCAGCTAGCTCTCTGCAACTCTCACATTGTCGTCCATTGAAGCTAAGCAGGGCTGTGCCTGGTCAGTACCTGGATGTGAGACCACATGGGAATGCTAGATTGCTGCCAGAAGTGATGTTAGTGAGACCAGTAATGGGTGCTCAACCTGTGGTCTGTGTGGATTCTAATGCCCCAGTATAGTGAAGGGGACTCTACACTGCTCAGTGAGTGCCGTCTTTTGAATGAGACTTTAAACACAGGTCCCGACTCTCTATGTTAATTGAAAATCCCAGGATGTCCTTCGAAAAATGATTGGGGTTTACCCCCGTCCTGGGCAAATTTGCCCACTGGCCTCTGTCCATCATGGCCTCCTAACCATCCCCATATCCTAATTGGCTTCATCACTCTGTCTTCTCTCCACCATTCACCTAGTGTATGGTTTGTGGTCTGGAGCAATAAGGCAGCCATTGTATTATTATTATTATTATTATTATTATTATTATTATTATTATTATTATTATTATTATTATTATTATTATTAGTAGTATTATTATTATTATTCCAGCAGCTGCACCTAAATGGTTATTCTATAATTTGCTTTTGTATTATTCTCTTTAGGTTTGTTTAAAGTTATATTTCAAAATATTTGATGCTTTGCTCTTTTATTGATATGCCGGACTGTAAAGAGATTTGTCTGTTGATTGTCCTGCGTGCTCCTTTAAGATTCAGCAACTTGACATTTTCAGTGTGCTTTTCCCAGCTGGTGGATGCACAGCCAAATAACACAATTAAGCAAATTACAAGTTGCATGCAGTAAGACTGATTAGTTTAGAGTGTAACCTGAAGTGAACCTGATTAAAATGTCCAGCGCTCTGGGCATCTGAAAGAGGGATGTTTCTGGCGGAGCGGAGATTTCCCTTCTAGCCTGACTCTGACTCAGACTCATCACGGGAAACTAAATTAAGGTTGACTGATATTAGCAGCAGCTCAAATGTTTGTTTATTTAAACAGTTCTTCCCAATTACAGCTTCTCCCTGAGATACAAACTCAGGACGAGCATTTTAATAGGCAGATACATTTAGAGTAATGATCATGCTGTTAATGAAGTCCTGATAGTGACTAAAGCCAGTCTGTCATATTATATTATATTATATTATATTATATTATATTATATTATATTATATTATATTATATTATATTATATTGTTCACTATGCTGTAAAAAACAAAAACTCTTACTTGACTTTGTCCATAGATTAGTCAATGACATAATTTTTAAAGTAAAGGTTTTAGTACATGTTCCTTCAGTATATTTACCAAATTCAGATTTGTTCTAGAGATATATTATAGGGTTTGATGAAAAACCTAAATTTTTTGCATTTCTGTGTGGAGTTTGCATGTTCTCTCTGTGTTATAGTGGGTTTCCCACTGGTTCTCCGATTTACCCCACAGTCCAAAGACATGCGCTATAGGTGAATTAGATTAACTAAATTGGCCATAGTGTATGAGTTTATGTGTGTGAATGAGCGTTTATGGGTGTTTCCCAGTACTGGGTTTTGGCTGGAAAAGCATCTGCTATGTAAAAACATATGCTGGAATATTTGGCGGTTCTGATAAATCAGAAGCCAAAGGAAAATTAATGAATGAATGTACACTTGAATGTCATTATCTTGGTTGATGGTTTTGCGATTGTTGTTTGTGAGTCCCTCATTTGTTCTGAGCAGTTAAACTACCTGCTGTTTTTCAGGGAAAAACAAACTCCAGTTCCTGCGCATTATTCAGTTCACCAGCATCTTCTGCATATTTTACCTATTTGCAGCACAGGCTGTATATATATATATATATATATATATATATATATATATATATATATATATATATATATATATATATATATATATATATGTGTGTGTGTTTAGATGCATGTCACTGATTAGAAGGGGACGGATGTTTACTGTATGATGACCAAATTGGCCTACCCAGCAGGCACAAGAAGTCAACATGACGTCAGATTAACGTTGTACCCTAACGTAATAGGGACTTTGCATTTTGTTTGAAAATGAAAATGTCCATATGTCAATATGAAGTTGGTTTAACATGGTGGCTCGATGTTGGATTTTGGTCACTTTCCAACATAAATAAACCAAATATCAATGTCATTTGATGTTATTATTGGACATAAAATAACACTGTCCTTAGACACTGGCTAGACATTGATTTTCTGGTCACCTGACATCACAACCTAAATCTAACATATTATTAATGTCTTGTGATGTTGTGTGCCTGCTAGGCAATAACTAAATGCACTACAGAATGTTATGTTTACTCACACATGCACAAATCACATATAAACGCATCAGCTTTTAACAGCTCCATACTCACTACTCACAACTCTTCAGGATTTTAGAAAGGGCTACTTTTTACTCATATTTAAAGTAACATGTACAACAGAAACTTTTACTCTACTTGCACTACATTTTTTGCAAGTAATGATACTTTTACTTGAGTATGATTTTTTCAGTACTTTTTCCACCACTGCCATCGACTTAGGAATACATAACAATCTCTGGTTGTACGACCGAAAGAGACCGATCAGGCTTCTGCTCCATCAACGTGTCTGACAGATAAGAAGGTGCCAGGCCATTTAGAGATTTAAAAACCAAGAGAAGAATTTTAAACTATTAAACATTAAACTATTAACATTTTACTGTAAAACTGGTGTAATGTGGTCATGATTTTTGGTGCCTGTTAAAAGCCTTGTTGCAGCATTTTAAAATAATTGTAAACAGGATTTTCTGACTAATCTCAACATCAAGTTCTGACTAATCTCAAAGTATAGTGAGTTACAATATAGTCAGAATAGGTAATTTTTTTTTTCAAATTTTTTTTTTTTTTTAAAAGTCGAAGCCAAAATAAGCAATATTTAACCACTGCTTTTATTTGTTTGTCAAAGCTCAAGCCATCATCCAGAATGACACCCAGATTTTTTACCCAGGGCTTCATAGAAAAACTTGATTTTTCAAGATTGACAGGCCGAACTAAACTATTTCAGTCATACTCTCATAAAATCTATAAAAGTTCAAAGACAACCAGGCTCTCACATACGACAAGCATACCATGATAAGAGTCTCTAACCCACTTGAACTTGGAAATTTACCAAGACTCTGGGGAACAGCACATTTAATATAGTCCATTTTAAGGGGTGCAAACAAAAACAATGGTCCCAACGTATTTCCTGCTTTTTTATGGCTTCCGAGAATCCAAAAAAAGCCACATATTGATAAATAATGTTATGGCAGCTGTTTTAACATTAAATTATGATTGAATTGCCTATTGGTACAGTTATGAAATAGCTTGGTAACAAGCAGCAAATGATCATGGGCCAATGACATGACCACATTGAAATGGTCTACGTTGATTTGACAATTGTAGTTTGCAACACAGGCTCATTGAAAATGCATGCTTCAGACATTTTTCTGAAACTGCAAAAAAATCAACATACATTTGTCTAAGAGGTTAAACTCCATGAAGAAACTAGATGGATACTTTTTGGGGGGAATTTCTATTATGATTTATTAATATTGATTTATCAGAACGGTACACTTGTGTGCCATTTCTGGGTGAGTCGGCATGAATTACAGCCCTAATAGAGTTTCATGAAAGCACAGCCAAGCATGAAAACTAAAAGTCAAGGTCAGGCTTTTATTTAGTACATGCAATTTAATGTTTCTTATTAAACCCTATTGTATACTCCTAGAACACATGCGATGTGTCACATGGAACCATTCGTTGACAGTCTTGCATCTAATTTTTTTTTTTTTTTTAAATGAGCATGGATGTATTTGAACAGTATTTATTTATTTATTTATTGTCCAAAAAAGAGAAAGAAATATAATGACATTGACATGGGAAGTCAATGTTAACTAACCCTTTAAGTAACACAGAACTTCTGTGATGGTGGATAGGAAGCATTTGCCGCTTTCGCACGAATGTGGCAAATTTGTTTGTTTAGTGTGATCATTTTCTCTCTACGCCTTCCCCTCTCCTGTTCCAGCTTCCTCTCTGTCTCTTTCTTGCTTTCTCTTCTTTGATTTCCCACGAGCCTGAGAAACAGAGTTGAAGTGACAGTGTGTTGCCGACTCCTCGACTTTCCTCAGCGGGGATTACCTGGGGATATAGATGCATACAGCATTTGAAAATATTTGTTTTATGCAGAGCTCTCAGATTCCTTAAATTGTTAAGGGTGTTTACAAAAGTGTGTTTCTCATTACATGTTGATTGTGGTAAACACAGAGGCAGTGTTGAGAGATTGATGAATAACTTACTTGAATATTATAGAGATAGAAACTGCAGCACTGGCAAAGGCTTGGTGGAAAGGGGGCGAGTGCTGAAAACAAAGGTCAAATCACTGTCATACCAGTATTCTAAAGCTTTCTTATTATGTATGGAGGTCTCATACAATAATTTTGCATGCATTCAAGGTCCAAACACATTCGATGCAATGAAATTTTTTTTTTTAATTATTTATAATGATTTATAAATTATTTAATACAAGTAAAGAATATATATGCTGAGAATTTAAACAATTTAGATTAGTCTATTAGCCATTTTAAGTAAGGTTGGGTATCGTTTTTTTTTCTTTTTTTTTTTTTTTTTTTTTTGATACCGGTGCTAAATCAATACATATAAAACTATACATGCATTGATTACTTTTGTCCGTCTCATCCTTTGCACAAGCTGTTACTCTGCCGCTGGACATTACTGAAGCGGAGAAAGTAACACAAGTTTGATCATGTATAAATATTTTTTCATGCACCCCTTTGATGCTTCTTATGTGCTTGCCGCAGCACTGAAATTAGGCACCGAAATTCATACGCTGATTTAATAGCGGTATATACCAGTTACCAAGGTACCGGTGCTATAATGGCACCGGGTTTCGGTACCCAACCCTAATTTTAAGTTGAAATGTTTAAGTTAATTCAATGAAGAGACCACATTTGGTCAACTGAGGAAACAACTTTCCTCAAATCCTTTGCGTAGTTTCAACAGTATTACAGTTTACTGTGTAGTTTTAACTGTGACTCTACCTGACAAAAGTCTTGTCGTCAATCCCAGTTGTAAGAGCAACAAATAATAATATGACTTCTAGTTGATCATTTGGAAATGTGGCAGACGATATGAATCATCTGTTGAACTGCATCCTAATCATCTCGAATACTGCAGAAAACCTATTGGAACCCACATGGACCCAAGATTCTCACAGAAATCAGTCAAATTTAGTGAAGGAAAAATCATCAAAAAAGTTTGTGGTTACATTTAGTATGGGGATGTGTGAGAGATCTGCAGAGTGGATGGCAGCATCAACAGCATGAGGGATCAAGACATTTGTGCTGCCCGTTACATTACAAACCACACAAGAGGGCAAATTCTTCAGCAGGATAGCGCTCCGCCTCATACTCCACATCAACGTTCCTGAAAGCAAAGAAGGCCTAGGTTTACCCAGCCCAGTTACCAGACATGAACAATAATGAGCATGTCTGGAGTAAGATGGAGGAGCCATTGAAGATGAAACCTAAGAATCTTGATGAACTCTAGGAGTCCTGCAAGAACATTTTCTTTGCCATTCCAGATGACTTTATTAATCAGTTATTTGAGTCATTGCAGAGATGTATGGATGCAGTCCTCCAAGCTCATGGGAGTCATACACAATATTAATTCATTTTCTGCTGCACCATGACTTTATATACTATACTGTACATTATTTCTGTTAAGTGACAAGACTTTTGTCTAAGCAAAGTCAGACTTTACTGTCCTAATTAAATAATTTAAAAACAAGGCATGATCATATTTTATTTAGGTCAAATATATATAATCAATCGGCTTTTGCATTTCATTTTAGCCTATTAGCATATTATTATTTGTTGTTCCTATCCAGATCTGGTAAAATGTGAACCCGTTTTCCCTTCAGTCACTAGCGGAGCGATGAGGATCACGGGACTGATCATGACACGAAGGACCAATCAGTGCAGATTAACCTCATGCTAACAAGGGGTTTGGAAACAAATGATACGCTGAACGAATCTTAAGGGAGTCGTTGGGATAAATAGGTAAAAATAAATGCATTTCATAAGACAATGAAAGTGTTTTTGACCTTGCATGCAAATTAGCCTGTTGTTGGAGACAACCCAAGCCAAAATGTGACCATTTATAATGCAAAATAGGGGCTCTTTAAATTACACCATAATGGAATGTTGGTGGCAAAGTGCATGTTTTAAGGATTATCATTGTCAAACTGCAAAAAATGCTTTGGGGGAAATGTTGATTTCATATTATAGAGGTATTATGTATTGAATATTTTTGACAACTAACAAGATTAGCATTGATGTATTTATTAAAACACACACATAGTTGTTAAATGCACTCTTTGTAAGCGACTGTCTTCTTATTCCTGGACAAATGCGCACATTTAATTTCCCCACACTAAACGTCTCTGAGCAGCACAGTAGGAATTGAGTGGCAGAAAGGGGGCGAAGGGGAAGCCGAGATCCAGCTGTTTCTAAAGCAGGTAAAGGCACATTAAAGTGCTGACGGAGTGTGTGAAGAGCTCCGTTGCTGAATTATTCATGACCGCTGGATGAAGGACAAGATTCTCGCTCATGAAGCAGCGTCACGGCCCCTCTCTGACAATTTGTCCTCCACACTCCCACTTACAGGTGCAGAACAGCAGCGGCTCAATCTTTATTATGGCCCAGAAGTGCATAGCAATAACAGCCTGTTGCACCTCTACAGGTCTCCACATCCATCAGAGTCCGCCGGCGCGCTACACTTCAGCCATTACCCATGAAGAATTTCTGCAATTAACAATGCTGATTAGTTTTGCAGTTGTTCGTAATTTATGGCCATAATAAGCCTGGAATATGGCTTGCATGGGAATATTCTGGGTTCTGTGACACTGATGTTGATTTACACCAATTTTTCTCTGGATTAAGAATGAGCGGTAACACTTTACGTGAAGAGGATGTTCATAAGACACCTTTATAATTATGACATGACACATATGATTTCTTATGACATTATAAACCTAATAATAATAGGGTATATGCAGAACTATTATTTCTTCCTATTGTGGTAAACTTCTGGTGAACGGTTAATGTGACTTTTTTCCATTTTATACGGTTCCTTTTTCAGCATTGATGTTGTAATGTGATTAAAATACAATCAGTTAAATAGACTTTGGCATTTATTTATTTGCTCAAGCGTAAAACAAGACAACACAGTGGATCACAACCGCGCGCAACACTGCTCTTCAGTATGCGTGCGACAACTACACACCCCGTTCTTCAAAAAATGTATCCTGCACATGCCCTTTGGACTGTCTCAGCACGGGCTTGACTCAGCCAGTGGATATCGCTGATTTTTAAAGAAAAACGACCTTAAATTTTGCAATGTTATGCAGTTCACTGGAGACACAACACAGGTTACTGACAAATTAAAAGTCATTTAGCATACTGCCACACATACCCTATTCTGGTGATGTTTTACAATAAGACTTTGTTAAACACAAACAGTGTGTGTGAATTACACTTGAACAGGGTGTTCAAAAGACTGCCATTAAAACTTATAATCCTTATATGACACGTTAAAAACATGAAGGGATTTTATGAATGCTTATGACAGCTGTCATTAAGTGTCATTTGCTCAGTTATATCAAATTAAATGCAAAGATAACAATGTCTTTGTCATGACAACTTCACAATACTAAGACAACATAAATATTTAATTTTCTCCTAGCCATTGTGATTTAATTATATATATATATATATATATATATATATATATATATATATATATATATATATATATATATATATATATATATATATATATATATATATATAATGTAAAAATACATTGTACCAAAGTAATATATATATTTATATGTTTACAGTTAGAATTATTAACCACTCTGAATTATTAGCCCCCCTATTTATTTTTTTCCCCAAGTTCTGTTTAACGAAGGGAAGATTTTTTAAACACATTTCTAAACATAATAATTTTAAAAACTCATTTCTAATAACTGATTTATTTTATCTTTGCCATAATGACAGTAAATAATATTTTACTAGATATTTTTCAAGAAACTTTATATATACATACATATAATAGTATCATGCTTATTCAAAAGTCTTTATTTTTATTTTCAATTCGCTTTTGGGGCTCTGTAATGTGTTATGTTTTTTTGCATTTAAAGCTTAAGATTGTAATATTTTACTTTTAAAAGTAACTGCCCAACACCGACAACAAAGTGTCTGTTAATGTCAACTCCTCTATTCCATAATATCATCGCCTTCACTTGCCGTTAACCTCTTCACGAGATGCAAAGACAGAGTTTAAGAGAGAAACAGTCCCAGAAGATCTGTACAACTCACTGAAGGTTTAATACCATTGTGATCTCTTGACTTTAGAAGTAAAAAATCAATCCCTGCTGCTTCTACACTTATCAATGTTCTTTTCAACGTAGCAATTGAAAAAGAAATCCAATACTCTTTCTTTAATTGAGCTATTAATACCCAGCTGGATATCTCAATGGCAGCGACTACACCCATTAAGTTGTATTAGATGGCTGAGGTCATTCTCATTTTAGTGCAATACCACCTTTTACCCTGCATCCAATCAAGAGCTAGAGAAATGCTTTTCATCACATTCACTTTTCATTGTCTACACCCTTTCTTTCTTTCTTTCTTTCTTTCTTTCTTTCTTTCTTTCTTTCTTTCTTTCTTTCTTTCTTTCTTTCTTTCTTTCTTTTCCATCCATCCATCCATCCATCATTCTATCCTTCCTTTCTTCTGTTCTTTTTTTCTATCCATCCTTCCATCCATCCTTCCATTCTTCCTTTTTTATTGCGTTCTTCCATCCCTCCACCTTTCTTTCTTTCTTTCTTTCTTTCTTTCTTTCTTTCTTTCTTTCTTTCTTTCTTTCTTTCTTTCTTTCTTTTGTACCTTCTTTCTTTTCCATCCATCCATCCATCCATCCATCCATCCATCCATCCATCCATCCTTCATTCTATCCTTCCTTTCTTCTGTTCTTTTTTCTATTAATCCACCCTTCTATCCATCCTCCATTCTTTCTTCCTCCCTTTCTTTTTTGCTGCATTCTTTTTTCCATCCATCCATCCATCCTTCCTCCCCTCCATCTTTCTTTCTTTCTTGCTTCCCTCCTTCCCTCCGTTTTCACACCTTATTTCTTTCTATTTTTTTCCATCCATCCATCCATACATCCCATCTATCCATTTATCATTCCTTCTTTCTTTCTTCCCTTCCTCCCTTCCTTCCTTCCTTTCATCTTTTATTACTTCTTTCTATTCTATTCTATTCTGTTCTTCCTTCT